ATTTATGTTTTAAAAATACTAAAGTTAGTTTAATTGTCAGTACATGGTGAGCTTTTATAGCCATTTTTAGTATTCTTCCTCTTCTTCATCCTCTTCCAGGGAATCAAGCCCAACCTCTTCATAGTCCTTCTCCAACGCAGCCAAATCTTCACGAGCTTCAGAAAACTCTCCTTCTTCCATTCCTTCGCCAACAAACCAGTGTACGAAGGCACGTTTGGCATACATCAAGTCAAACTTGTGATCGAGACGAGCCCAGGCCTCAGCAATGGCTGTGGTGTTGCTCAACATGCACACAGCACGTTGAACCTTTGCCAAGTCACCTCCCGGAACAACTGTAGGTGGCTGGTAGTTAATGCCAACCTTAAAGCCAGTTGGACACCAGTCCACAAACTGGATAGTTCTCCTGGTCTTGATGTGAGCAATTGCAGCATTGACATCTTTTGGGACAACATCTCCACGATAAAGCAAGCAGCAAGCCATATACTTGCCATGACGTGGGTCACATTTCACCATCTGATTGGGTGGCTCAAAGCAGGCATTAGTTATTTCTGCTACACTCAACTGCTCGTGATAGGCTTTTTCAGCAGAGATCACTGGGGCATAAGTAGCCATGGGAAAATGGATACGAGGATATGGGACCAAATTAGTTTGGAACTCAGTAAGATCGACATTGAGTGAGCCGTCAAAACGAAGCGAAGCTGTTATAGAGGACACAACCTGAGCTATCAGCCTGTTGAGGTTGGTGTACGTTGGCCTTCCCACGTCTAAATTGCGACGACAGATATCAAACACTGCTTCATTGTCAACCATGAAAGCACAGTCAGAATGTTCGAGGGTTGTATGGGTTGTTAACACAGCATTGTAGGGCTCCACAACTGCAGTGGATACTTGAGGCGCTGGGTAGATACAGAATTGCAGTTTGGACTTTTTGCCATAGTCAACAGAGAGACGCTCCATCAAAAGAGATGTAAATCCAGATCCAGTACCTCCTCCAAACGAATGGAATATAAGGAAGCCTTGAAGACCAGTACACTGGTCTGCCTACAAAATACAACGTTAGAATAATATGGAGATGTTTTTCATTCAAGTAACAGACAGTGTCATCATTCAATTCGGATAGTTTGTACATCATGGTAAACCTGGGCTTGCATAGTGAATACTCAAAGCACTTGAACAGCTTAGAGATCTTACCAACTTTCTAATTCTATCCAGCACAGGATCGATGGTCTCCTTGCCAACGGTATAGTGACCCCGTGCATAGTTATTGGCAGCATCTTCCTTTCCAGTGATGAGCTGCTCGGGGTGRAAGAGCTGACGATATGTACCAGTCCTTATTTCGTCTGTAAAAGTTAATGATTCATATATGAAATTATGCTTCAGTTAAGAGCTACTCAAACCTTGTTTTCGAGATGTATTGTCGATAGAGTTTTTTCTCTGAACAATTTACGTTGCAAGTCCTAGCTACCCTATCAAATAATATTTTAGAAGCTTCATTGAGAAAGATAAGCACCAATTATTTATTACTACGTATTGGTATTTCTGAGTGAAATTATCCTAGCGAAAAAAGAAATGAAGAAATTTATTTAACTTTCTAAAATCATAATATAAGTTCACAATAATTCATAATGCACAATTAGTAAAAATGGGGTTCCCCTAATGAAAAATCAACTATCAAAACCTATTATTTCATGAACAACATGCACGTATTGTCATCGGTAACAGCATTATTAATTCCTATTAATACGGATCAAAGTGAATGAGGTTGTAGCTGCATAGGGAATAATCTGCGCATGTTCAGTGTAATTCATTTCCTTCTCAGCATAGTGTCAATAAATGACGCCATTAAGACCACAAACCACAAATATGGCATCCTAAGGTAGCAATTATATTCCCATTATCCATACAAAATATTTTATTATGAGACTTGGCGACTGCATACTGTGCGATATTGTTACTCGGGACAAGTACACAAGAGACACTAAGACGTTTAGGATCGATTTAGGATAATGACGACGTAGAGATAAAGTGAGTTACCATTAATTTTTCAGCCTAACTTGATTTGACATATTTTGCAAAGGCCTATAACATTAAATAAGTCGTTAATGGTAGAAATATCTGTCAAATAAACTCACTTCAAGATAGAAATATATATAACGTTTTATTGTGATTTGACTGAACCATAAACAATGAATCATCACGCCACGTTAAGGTTTAAGACTCGACTTATACCATAGTTAATAGTTATTATTATAACTATGCTTATACAGTTGAGGAAGGGGGAAACAATGCTATTGAAACTAGCTCCAAAGGGGTAATTTATACGGTACTCAGGCAACAAACAGCACTCACGAAATATGTCAAATTTACTGAGCACTGCCTAGAACGACATAAATATTCTATCATTTCGAAAGTGAAGTATCATGGCCAATATTGTAGTCATAGACATCATTCAGCACCCGGCGGGCTTTCACATTCTATCTTATCTGTCAATAGTCGGTTTCGAAAATCGTTTTCTGTATTAAGAGTAAAGCCATTTTTAAAAAAATGATCATAGATCCTGGCTTCAGATTTACTGGAATTTTGCTTTCGTGCATCCCACGTTTGCTTATTCATCAATGAAATGCGGTGAAAATCAAGTAGCTCATCGAAAAAAGATTTCGTATAGAGATGACTATATGTATTATAATAACAGTCCTTTTTAGGTGTCTTTTTGAAGATTGAGATTAGATATTCTGTACAAAGACGTCAGCGTCAGTGTTTTCGACTAAAACCAAGCATGGCTTTGCCTATTATTTATATACACATAAAATATTTACTAACAATATAACAGATTTATATGAGTGAATAAACACTTGTAAGAACACTAAAAAGTGATCAGTTTTCTATTCGTCCTAAACATGTAGCACTCAATACATTGGCAAAGGTTATCTTGACTCCGCGAAAACTACAAATGATACAAATGAAAGAGCATTACTGATTATACTAACCGACAACAGTGGGCTCCAAGTCAACAAATATGGCTCTAGGAACATGCTTGCCAGCCCCTGTCTCGCTGAAGAAAGTATTGAACGAATCATCTCCCCCTCCAAGAGTCATGTCACTTGGCATCTGACCATCGGGCTGGATACCATGTTCAAGACAGTACAATTCCCAACAGGCATTTCCAATCTGAACTCCAGCTTGACCAACGTGAACAGAGATGCATTCGCGCTGTTAATAGAATCGTAATTTCATGCATCTCACAATTTGGCACGGTGTCAATGTCCGACTAAAAGAAAGTGTAATAACAAAGACTTACCATTTTGAGTGCCGCGTATGTTCACAAAGTATAGTTAAATAGAGGTGATTAACGTTTTTTCCCTCTGTGAAAGTAACGACCCACAGAACTGGATGACTGTCACAAATGAGTGATGGGTTTTTCACGTAAATAGACCTCTATATAACACAAGGGGACTGGCGAAGAGTTTCCTGTTTATATTCAAATCAGATAGTGAAATGAGTCTGGGTATTCAAATCACTTACTTGTTGTCCATAAATTACAGATATCCTGTATCCTGTTCTTTTTTAAAATTCTTTTGCTTTCCATTTGG